CCCATGTGTCTCTGGTGCATCGCACCGCCCAGCCACCTCCACCCTCTTTTCTCTCTCACCCTTCAATCAGCTCCCATTTGTTGCCATGGAAACTGGGTTTGAAACGCTCCTCCTGTCACCCACTCGCTCAGACGAACACTCTCTGTTTTTATTTCCCCCCATCACCTTTTTCACTCACTGTTCCTGGTCTACAGGGAGCCACACCCGCCCTCGGAGCTAACTCACCCCTTCTCTGCTGCCAGACTCATATTTTATCCCCTTCCAACCCCCCAGTAACGTCTTGAATTATTCATGGGGCGTCTGTGACGCACCGAGGGTGGATTCCTCTGATCTTGCACCTTCCTCTTCGTTTTGACGGTAGAGCGCTGTTGCCCAGGTGAAGTGATGTAAAGGATGGATAAGTCGTGCACGATGATGCGTTTGAGCGTCTGTCTTTAAATTGTGCTCGTTGTTCGGTGCGAGCTGCTCGTGTTTCTCTGAGCCGGCTGACAGAAAGACAGGAATAAAGAGCATTAGGTAAGGCTGGACTCATAAGTCTGGGTTGAGTGGATGTTTGTGCATTAATGGGCTGTTAGCGGATGAAAATTTACAAAATAGTTTTAAAATAATGACAATGATTTGGTCTTTCATGCCAGAGACTACGGTCGTCTCGTGTGCAGGAATGAGTTGGAGCCGTTTTGTCAAACGTTGAAGGTTTGGTGCAATCTCCATCCCTGGACGTATTTCCTATTACATAATATTTTACTAACAGACAGCAACGACTCATATCACGTGCAATCTGTTGGAGCTCAGAGTGTGTTTTGGGGATCAGTCTAAGCTACTACCACACCACGTTTTAGCTTTTAAACTGATTGAGTTGTAGCCATTTCTAGGCCCTTCATGATAACTAATTTTGCTGGGCGATTAATTGTCTGAGAAATTATTGCGATAAACGATAATATTGTTTGAAATTTGACAATAATTAGTCATTATTGTCAAATTTAAGAAGAAATGTTGGTTCATTTTTATGTGCAGTACCTTTTTTTGACCACTGGAAGGCAGTATAAGACTGTCTGAACCAAAGGATGGATAGTGAGGGAGCGAGCGTGTCTCTTTAAGAAAAACGGTAGGGAGGCCCCTTGACGTGCATAGCATTTTTCACACAAAGCTTTTAATAATTAAAAAAAATCAGTAAACAAGTTCTCAGCTTCTTTTTGCAGAGAAAAACAACTTTTTACACGAAGGCACGGGTTTCAACCGTGAATTTTTGGATCTTCGACAAGAAGGAGGTTTTTTCTCCTAGGTCGAACTGTTAGCTTAGCTCGTAGCTTAGCTGCTTTTAACAAAGCAAAAACACAATTTTGGGACAGTTAAAACATATTTTAAATAGAAAAGAGAAAGGGAGGGGTCAGTGAAAAGCACCGGAGTTGAGCTTTTTGTCATCGAGTGTCTTCAGTAGAAAGAGAGACACAAAGAAACAATAAAGCCTATAAATTAAAATGTTTTCATTTATCATGCAATTAATCGATTTATTGTTTATCGCGACAGGCCTAGCCATTTCTGTGTTTTTAAAGATCTGTTAGCTGTGGTAGCCATCTTAAATCTGATGCAAGTTTCATTCAAATCCATTCACTGGCTCATAACATATTTTGCTAACAGACAAATATACACAGACCTGTACCAAAGCATCATCTCCATCAGTGGAAGGTGATAAATAGCGTTTAGATTCTTATCATGTCAAGATTTTATAAAGACGAACTCCTGTGGTTTTCTGCTGTGATGCATTCAAGCGTCTTGGTTCTTCCAGGTCACGTCTACGTGCAGTCAGGGCCGTTCAAAGGGCCGTTGTTTGCAAAGCTAAATTATTGCCTGCGTCGTGTTGTTGTCTGTGCAGCCCAGTTGTGTCACGGCTCTTGTTTAGTTTTGTATTTAACGCAGCCTCTCATCAGTGACAGCTGTTAGCAGAAAGTGTGTTTTTTATGCGCTGCATGCTCGGTTAAATAAACTCACGCTGCTTTCTGTTTGCTTTTCGCATTAAACAAGGCGTTGTATGCAAAGCAGCCTGTTCTTCTCCCAGCAGAGAGCCTATTAGTATTCACAGGCAGAGATCAGCATATTCTGCCCTCGTAACTACTGAGATCAGTGATCTGCTCACACTGCAACCACCGTAACCTCCTTTGTCTATCCACTCTCGTTTGCACCGCCGTGCATCAGATTCCACAAGGATTAGACATGGACGCCATCTTTTTAAGGTGTAACGTGACAGGACATGTCTGTCTCTGTTGTTACAGAGGAGGTGAGTTAGTGTTATGTGCAAAACATTTCAATGTATACATACATATATATATATATATATATATATATATATATATATAAGCTGATTCCTGTCACAAAGCCTCACCAGTAATCCAGTCTTGGGACCAGCAGCAAAAGTAAACAGGAAGTGCTGTTCCACTGGTTGGTTTCTGCGTCACCTGAGATTTCTTACAATAAAAGAAAAGCTCAAAATAAATTACAGTAAACTGTCACAAAATCAAAGCTGCGTCATGTAAAATGAGTTACTGTAAATGCTAGAGAAGGTGCACCACCTAAAGTGTGGGAAAAGTTAATGGTTCCCAACCCTGGTCCTTGAGGAACGCCATCCTTCATGTTTTGGTTGTTTCCCTGCTCCAACACACCTGATTCAGTGATTTAATCACTTCCTCGTGTTCTGCAGAAGCCTGTTAATCACCCATTGATTAAAATCAGGTGTGTTGGAGCAGAGAAACAACTAAAACATGCAGGATGGTGTTCCTCAAGGACCAGGGTTAGGAACCCGTGGAAATCATGTGCATAACATTTTAATTTGCTTAAATTTACAAGCTAATCTGAGTCCAGATAAGACTTTTATTCAGGTCCAGATCTGAGAGCGATACGAGGTGAATGCCTGCAGGAGACCTGGTCACACCAAGAGTATAAAACAAACGCTCCCATTCTGGCAGCACCATCAATAGTCCAACACATGTCTCAGCAAAATGGAATAAGGATTAAGAATTAAATTATAAGTCTCATCCAGATACCCAGAATCCCCATCATCGAACGTAACTGGATTCATTAAATAAGAGCATGCACGCAGAAAAATTCACAGAGCCTTCTCTTTCCTCATCCCTCCATCGTATTTGTCTAAACGCTTCCCTCTGGGTGTGGAGCAGGTCCTGCAGCACGAGAACAGATGAGCCTGGGAAAAATAAAACACGTCTTTTTTTTATGTTGCATCTCTGTTTTCTTGGTTTGTGTCAGAACTGAAGGATTGTGTTGAGGTTTTAGAGGAATATCATTTTTTTAATTGGGGACTGCCGGCAGCCACCTATTATTATCCACCTGACAAAGGGTTTCTTAACTTTATATCTTATTCTTCCGTCAACTTTAATGCGGCCCGAACCACAACATGTACCCCCACAAATATATCAAAACAACCGGCTTGGCGCCGTGATTACTTTTATTGGCGTTTTGAGTTACCATGGCAACATAATTTGAAAACAAAGACGCCATTTTTATTTGTCATTTTTCATAGACTCTGGTTGCAAATCAAATGTCCAAGATGGCCGCATGAGCTGAAAAGGAAAAATACATTAAATAAGCCATTTTTAGAGATATTAAGCTGAATTTGGTGCGGTAGCTGCATGAGACCAATGCCCAATAAATAACGAATTTTTAAAAATCAAGATGGCCGCCAAGGCGCAACTTAAATGGCTTTAGTTCAGCTACTTTTACACATATAGAGCTGAAGTTTGGTGTGGTTATAGCTGAGAACATTCCCCACTAAATCCAAATCAAAAATCCAAGATGGCCACCATAGCTTAAAATAAAAAAATGGCTTTAACTCATTGATATTTTGCCATTTTAAGCTGAAATTTGGTGCGGTGGTAGCTGAGAATGGCCGACACGTGGCAGTCCCTGTCAAAGTTTCTCCAGGAACTTTCTAGTTCATGCCTGTAATTTTTCATCTTTATGTTTTAAACATTTTGTGTATCTTTATACGTGGAAGAGTTTGAGTTATTTCTGTTGTAAGAGGTAAAAACAATAATCCAGTCAACTTTGTTCTCAGGTCGTAAAGCAGGAAGTTTGTGCTCCTGCTGTAAAGATTTCTATTAAAGACTCGAGGGGCGTGGGGGTGTTTTGTCTCCTTCATGTACTGTACAAAGTTTTATACTCGTTTCTTGTTTCTGTGACATTTAAAAGAATAAACATGGCACCAGTTACTTTCATGGACAACCAAGTCTGGCTGAAGCAAAATGTTATATTTGGAATCTGCATTTTACAGTTTGTGCCCGGTAGATTATAATTTAAAGCGACTGTTGATTTAATCTAAAAAATAATCTTGAACGTACCCAGTAAAGCCAAAAGGAGTTACTTATGCTCGCCTTCATGAAAGGTGGTCAGTCCTGTCTGTGCATGTGTTTGTCTGTTAGCAAAATACCTCCTGGATTTTAAAGAAATGCTCAGATCTTTCATGTGCATCTACAACAGATTAGCCCTTGGAGTCAGCCCCGGTGAAGATGGCCGCCACAGCTAATTAAACTTTGCAAAATTGGCTGTAATTAAATTAGTTTTACGGAAATGAAGTTAATATTTGGTGGGAGTTGTCCCCAGCATGTACTCTGAGCATTAACGGATATCACAAGGTCTTTGTTTAAAGCTTTGGGTGACAAGCATTTCCTCCATTAAAGCTTTTGAAAAACATTAAAAAGCAGAAAGTTGTTATTTGTGTATAATTATATTCCCGAGTCTCTTAAATTTGCTCAGATTTGCCTGTTTGTGTCTGTGTAGCAATAAAAGGCGAACCTTTGTGCTTTCCCAGCTTGTTCGTTTGTTTTCTCTGTAAATAAGGGTGTTTCACTTTACTTCCTTTTCTAAATATGATTACATTATTGGGCGGTGTTCTGTGTGTGCCAACATCGTCAGCGGTTTTACCCTCGCGTGTGCAAGTCGAGTACATATAAACAGTTTAAGGAGCTCGTCTCCATTCTGTCTCTGCACAGAAACCGGACACGTGGACCCGCTGCTCATTGACCAGTACAACACGCCGGGCTTCATCGGGTGTCTGTCGCGGGTGCAGTTCAACGGAGTCGCGCCCCTCAAGTCTGCGCTGAGGAAAGCAGCGCAAGCGTCGTCCACGTCCACAGGCGGCCAGGAAGGCACGCAGCCTTTAGCGGCCTCGCCCGTGTCTTACCGCGGCAAACTGGTGGAGTCCAACTGTGGGGCGTCGCCTCTCACCATCCCACCCATGTCTGCTGCAACAGATCCCGGGCATCTGGACAACACAGGTGGCTACTTGTCATCAGCGTAAAAACTGTTGGTTTTATTCGACGTTTTAAGTCTGTTTGTTTGTTTCTTACTCTGCGTGCTGTCAGATGCAAAGATCCCCTTCAACGAGGAGAGAGTCATTCCTGATGGAGTCAACAGAGACTCGGCCATCATCGGAGGTACAACAGAACATTCAAGTGTTGTGTTTATGACCGGAAAATATACGGTCACGATGCTGCATTACATTTACGTCAGAAGTCAGTACTCTGATCCAGAAGAACATCTAGTACCACGTTCACTAATACAAGACTCCAGTCCGTGTTGTGTATTGAGACGTGCCGAGGGTAACGTATATCGCAGATGTTGAAGCCAAAGTGGGTACAGCATCCCCACAGGACGGCCCTACTGCAAGCTTTAAGCTCCGTCTCCTCCATGTAAACTAATGGGATACTGGGGAATTAAGTTAATCAATTAATTAATTAACCTTTAAGGAGTTGACTCGTTGATTTCTGCTGTATGTTCAAATATTCATTTTTCTAACACATTTAGCTGTAATTAGCTATTTCATGAAAGCTCATGCGACACCATGGTCGTTTGTGGGGAAGTGGGCGGGGCCTAAAGCTCCACGTAGCTAGTGCACAGGCTCTGGTTCCAAAAATACAAACTGGCATCTGAAATATAAACTGCTTTCTGCTGGCTTCAAGTGCCAATAAAAAAAGAAGACAGGAACACTTGGGCTAGTAGTAGAGAGACATCGATGGTATGTATCTAGTACCGTATTGTCCACTGTCCACGTTGCACCGCCCTATAAGTTGCATCAGTACAAATATGTCTAATAAAGTGGACAAATCCATAAATATGTCGCTTCGCCGTATACGTCACATCTATTATGCATCACCGATGACAACCTGGAAATGCGTGCCGGTGTTGTGCCAAAAATCGACTGGCTGCCAAATGGTGGCCGCGGGAGCGTGCACGGAAGGATTTTTTTTTAATTATTATTAATTTTATTTCATTCAGTTACAGTTTAAAATAAATATGTCACCTGTTGACATAAAACAAAAGTTCTGAATGAAAAGGAATAATTTGAAGAAAAAAATCTTCTATAGTCTACTTTTGCCAAAAGTTAATCTACTAGATCTAGATCCTCTCAAATTATAAATGCCGTCTCTTTTAATAAATCTTTTTTGCAAATGCATTGGTAACATACTGCTATGTATTTTAATCGTAACTTGCAGAATATAATAGTCCACCAAGTCGTGAAATTTCATTTATTTTACGTTACAGAACAATGGATTTGTTGGTTCTCTGTAGCGTTTTCCACTTATAATTCTAACAGCTGTTTTTTGCAGAATAAAAATATAATTTGTTTACGATTTACAGGCATTCCCCCAAACTTCTACACAATAGGTCAAACAGGGAACGATGAGTGAATTATACAATATCAACATTTTATCATTTAATGGGTCTTCTACTTTATATAATAATGCAATTATCCTTGATATTTTCATCTTTAAATTATTGATATGTGGTTTCCAGTTTAGATTTTCATCATGAGTAACAGGAATTTGACCTCTGCCACACGTTTAATCACAACCCCATCAACATCAATCAACACATCTGTAGGAATCTCTCTATTGCTAAATATCATGCTGTTGGTTTTTTCAACATTTTAACAAGAATTTAACAAGATTAACATTTAAAAACAATTATGTGTTTGCTCAGATTTATAGCAAAGGTGTCTCAGTTTAACTTTTCCTTAATAAATGCACTTTAACGGTCAAATCACCTGCATTTTCAAAAGCCGATACGCAGAAACAGGAACGCGCAGAGAGGCACTCGCTGTGCATTTCTTAGAAATTTAACAAGATAAGCACCTAAAACAATTATTTGTTTGCTCTACATTATAGTAAAAGTGTGTCTCAGTTGAACTTTTACTTAATAAATGCACTTCAGTTGTCAAATTAGCTGCATTTCACCGGCGCGGCGCAGCGAGATGAAGCTGATTTGACGGTTGTTCCAGGCGAGCTAGACGACGATGGCAGGTTATGGCAAGCCGATTGTGGCATTGATAGCCACTATTTTTCTATTACATGACACAATGGCATGCCATACTACTCGAGTGCCATCTAGCGGCTGAAAATGGTAGTGTTCAATATTTTCATGTCAAAAATTCATAAATATGTCGCTTCGGTGCATAAGTAGCAGGGCAAAAAAAACGCGACTTATAGGCCGAAATATTTGGTACTCACAGAGACCAAGATGTAGTATAAAGTAACTTGTTGCTTGTATTTACTAGGTATGCACCTGCCTTACTCAATAAGTAGCAGGTATGCTGCTGAATGTATGAAAAAATACAAAGTGCACATCCTGCAAGTACACGGTAACAAGTCGCATCGTTACTTAGTCCAGTCCCTGTAGGTACCAGGCACGTACTCTGTAAGTATCAAGTATATACTGGGCTGTATTATGTATTACTACTATAAAATGCTGAGCAATAAGTACCAAATATAACCTTTAAGTCACATCATTTTAATGCCTGATCCCCATACCAGGTATGTACAGTACCAGGTACAACATGGTATAAAAATAAGACAATTGTAAAATAAAAGTAAAGTTTGTTTTGGTATGTTTTAGAGATTTTGTTTTGTACTATAAACCTACAAAAAAAATGCTTGCATAATAATTTTCTGGGAATTTCAATAAACATTTTAGTGTTTTTTTTAAATATATGTTTTACGTCATTAGAGCAGTTAAGTTAGATTTTAAAATATATTGCTTATACAAATTAGTGAATAATTTAGGCCTGAGGAAACGGCAGGGGTTGAAAACATTTTCATCCATTTGTCGTGCAGGTGTTATTGCCGTGGTGATCTTCACCATCCTCTGCACGCTGGTGTTCCTGATCCGCTACATGTTCCGCCACAAAGGCACCTACCACACCAACGAGGCCAAGGGCAGCGGCGAGTCCGCCACGGAGTCCGCAGACACGGCCATCATCGGCACCGACAACCCGGAGACCATCGACGAATCAAAGAAGGAGTGGTTCATCTAGCGGCCGGTGACGGGACTCTGAGAGACAGGAAGCACTTCGTGAGACCGTCACTTGTCCCAGATGGAGGGAGTTTAATCAAACAACCGATCGCTGGAGAGTCCGAGGATCGCCTATTCGGTAGGACGACAAACTCCCGGAAAAGGTGGGACGTGAGGAACGTTCTTTTGTTTTTGTTTTAATATCCAGAGTATTGAAGGGGAAAGGGGAAAGAGACGCTTATCCAGTGGAGCACATCTGTAAAGAACCTTTCGTGTACATACTAACCAGCTTATCCTTCTTTGTATCGTGCTCTGGAGTTTCCAGGAGTCCTTTGAATACTGTGTATGACAAATAATTACACTTACTGAATGGTGTGATAGCAAAGAGTTATTCCTTGTTTGTTTCTTGATTTTATATTTAACTGCTCTTCTATGAGAAATGATCAACATCAATATGCCAAACCCTTTGATTTTGTTTTGATTAGATTATTTTGGAGCCGTCTGTCAACACTCGTGTCCGTCAAATGATGCACATCTTATATCGTGGTAACATAGAATTAAATACGAATGCCAAAAGTCTTTTTGTAAATACAATATTTTGTGTTAATTGCTTTTATTTCTCCTCAAAATGTTTATTTAGAGTTCAAACACAATGAGAAATGTCGTATTTATAATAGAGTAATGATATATATGTGTGAGATGCAGAGTTTTATGTTTAGATCTCATGACGCTTGATTGTATGAGATGTTTTTTTTATCTGTTTCAGTGGAAGAAGAGTTTTTCAGAGCAGGATCAGGTTGAAGTTTTTGGCACGGCAGCTTTTTGTTTAATTCAGAATGAGCGAAAACAGGCGCTTTTGCTCATGCACGTGGTCAGTTTGATTTATTTTTTTTTGCCAAACGCCTGAGTCTTACGTCCAATTTTCACTCCTAATGTTTGACTTTTTGCTTTTAATCGTTTGCATTCGACATCTTTGATGGACTGCATGTGTGAGTGCGTGTGCGCTGGATAAAACAAGTGCCAGAAGAGGCAGCTTCGACAGGAAGGATATCGAACAACAACGTCTTGAGTTTTATTCGTGCGTTAGAGCATCTGAAGCAGCAAAACACAAGAAAAACATCATCAGTTCTCAGAGCAACACTTGGGCTGAGGTTGGGATAATTGGCTTGAGTCCACTGTGCCTTCGAGGCGTTCAGCCACATCGCCTTTCCCAACTCCTAACTAAAAAACTTCCAACAAAAGCTTGATGGCTGCTGCATGAAATCCCTGCAAGTTTCATTGTTCTTTAATGGTGCTCTTTAGTTTCTCATAAATCCCAGTTTTTAATGATTTTTTATTTTTTTTTAAACGTCCACCGTTCCTTCAAAACGTCAACCACTTCGGCTAATTTTGGTGCAGCTTTGCAGGCGTTTTGTGGCTGCCTGCAACAAACAAGTTCACATTTACTCCCTGTTGCAAAAAAAAAGATGCATTTTTGATAAAGCCTGAGCTTCGTAATGTTTGTTGCGTTATTAAAAAAAGGCATTTTTTTAAACGAGGAAGCACAAAGATGATCTTCGTCTTCATTCACATGTTCTGTTTAATCATGTTTTCCCTCTCAGTTATGTTTACTTGTGTTGCTCTTTAAACCAGCTGCCAACTGTGTGTGTTAATTTGCTGTTTTTGTGTGTCCGGTTGGTGAAAGGTCTCCCACTCACTTAAATATTTATGCATCATCGCCTCGTTGTGGATCACTTTATCGGAGACGTGAGGGCAGCTGCTGCTCAGCCTGCTGAGGCCTCAGAGCAAACTGTTTTCACACCACATAACTTCTCACACAGACGCCGTGCAAACATGCACACACCCTTAAAATGTGAGCCGGACATCGATGGGAGTGGATTATCAGTGCTGACAGACTAAAACCATGATGCATATGTTTTACTTTGGTTTTATTCAGTTGAATAAAGAGTGTTTGATCAATAAACTCACTTTGTCTTTGTGTATTTAAAGTCTGGAACAGCATTAATGATGCACTATAAATTACAGGCCATTTAATGAAATCACTGACTAATCACTGTCTGTGTTTTAAAACTTTAACCCATATTTAAAAAACATAATTAAAGATCTCTACAGAAATCTAATTTCTTACAAAATGCAGTGAGAATGCTGAGTGCTGGATGACTTTGCTGAAATTTGTTAAAGCTAAAAGATGCAGAGCTAAAAGCTAAAAAAAAACAGATGGACCGAAAAACAAGCTGCAGAACACAGGCTAAAACTTAAAGCAGAAAAACATTAGCTAGATGCCGAAATTAATCAGATGCTAAAGCTAAAATGAGCTAAATGTGCATAAAATGAGCGATACAGATGCTTATATTAGCAGAAATAAGGCTAAAATAAGTAAAACAGAAGTTAAAGCTAAAATTAGTCAAACAGAAGAAAGCAGAGTGGGTGCTAAAAGTAGTAAAAGTGGCTAATAGCTAAAAGGAGCAGAGCTAAAGGTTAAAAGATAAACCAAAACAAGCTGCAGAACACAGGCTAATAGCAGCAAAACGGTAGCTAGATGCCAAATGTAATCAAATGAAAAGCTAAAATGAGCTAAATGTGCATAAAATGAGCAATACAGGTGCTTATATTAGCAGAAGTAAGGCTAAAAATATTAAAACAGAAGCTAAAGCTAAAATTAGCCAAACTAGCTAAAACTTTAAAATACAGAACAGTAGCTAAAAGCTAAAATTAGCGAATGAAGACAAATATAAAGCAAGTATCCTGAAGCAGATTTGAAGAGAACGACGTTTTTGCAGACAATGAAGCGATCTCTGTGTATTTCGATGGTGAATTTTATTTTAATTTATTTTTTTCCTTTCGGCTGCTCCCTCCTTCAGAGGTCACCACAGCGAGATAACTTGCACGAAGACTTGGCAATTGTTTTTACACCGGATTGTCTTCCTGGCGCAACCACCGAGCTACCACAGCCCCCTGCGTGGAGCAGAGAGCTGCCATGTAGAGCGTCAAGGGGAGCAGGTGGTGGGGGTTAAGGGCCTTGCTCAAGGGCCCAGAGTGGGGCAAATGAGGGTGGAGGCAGGTGTGGGTGCTTCTTCAAGAAGCCCAGAACAACTCCTGACACACCGAGTGGGTGACGGAAAAAATGATGGACGATCAAACCACTTGTTAATTATACACTGATTCTTATAATAATTATAAAACATCATTTAGTGCCATCGCTTGCTCCTTGTTACCCTCTGTAATTCTTGTTTATATGTCTGGTTTCATTTCCTCCTGTTCTTCATTCGAATGGGGGTATTTTTACTAACAAGTCACAAGCTGCCCTCTTGTGGCGTCACAAACAGTGGGTTGTAGTCGTCCCTCTTGATATTTCTTGTTTTGTTGCCTGAAGGCACAGAATTTAAATGGATTTTAAATTGGCACATTAATGAAGTCAAACAGGGAAAAAATCTGTTTTTAAATAATAGTGTGAGGTTTTTCTGGCGTGTCAGCCCCTCGCCAGGTATTGAGACGACTCCTCGGACCCCGGGTCTCTGGGCCCGGTGCAGATCCTGCAGCAGAGTTGGTGACTGTGTGTTGGGGGGTCTTTTTGCTGGGGGCCGTGGTCCAACTACTGTCTTACAACTCCCCTTCTGCGCTGATTTTGTTTTATTTTCTATTTTTCTCACTTTTGTCCTTGACTCCCTGCCTGTCCCACTTTTTTTGCCCAAGCTTAATGTATTCTCTGAAAAACAAGTTAAAAAATACAAGTTTCACCAAATCATTTGTTTCGGTCACTTTCACAGAGTTTCAGCTAAATATGGTTCAGCTGAAAGTCTTCTCCAAACAAATCTTGTGTAATCGCACAACATCACATCAGATCATGCATAAAGTCGTTTACATGGTTTGATGAAAAATAGCTATAAAACTGTTTTATTCCATCAAGAAATGCTTAACTTTTAATTTTAATTAGTGAATTGTTCCACTTTGGTTTTGTATTTTCAGCATTCCTAAATATTTAATTAGCCGGGTGGTTAGATGATTTTATGTTGGGTTTTTGTTTTTTCTCTTGAATAAAGCCGTCACAACCTTAAACTGCAAAAGTTGGACTTTCAAAACAGGGATTTACACCCAGTTAAGTGTTAATAAGTTGCATTTTATTATATTGACTGATTTTTTTTTTAATCTAAGCTATAGCCACTTACGTCTAAATGAACGTATATCATGTATATCTTGAATGCAATTCTATGTAAAGGTCCAAAATATACACATTTTATTGTCCACAAGCAAAAAGACAACATGCACCAATAGACTTCATATATTTGGTATTTTGATCATCGTTGTTTTACAGATGAGCTTTTGTTGTAGTTTTCCACAGCATTTACTCAGAAACGTGGTTTTAATCAGTTTATTGGTGTTCAGGTCATTTTAATAAAAGGAAACGGGGAAGGGGACACCAAAATGTTTTCACAAAGGCACACGTTCTTATTGTTCGTGGCACGGCAGACTTCACGGTGAGGACTGGCGATGCTCCTCTGAGGTGAAACCCTGAAGTCCAGAGGTGCAGCAATAACGAATGGACGGTTCAGGGGGCGGGTGTCGATACGACCTCGGGACACTCAGCTGTGAAAACACACGAGGACACCGGTGAAAAAAATGAAACGGTTTCTGGAACGACTGCGGTTTGAGACGAGTGGATGTTGGCGACGTACCGCTCTTTGGCAGGATGATGATATTTTCAGGGTTGATGCCGTTGCTCTGAGAAAACTGAGTGAACTTCTGCTGCAGGTCTTCGCTGACCTCGGGACTTCGGCCTGAAACCACAACATGAACGTCTTTCATCTCAAGCAGACTGCTCGTTCTTCCATCAGGCTTGGTGAGTAACTTACTGTACAGCTTGATGAGGGCTTCAGACACTCCCTCCTTGGTCTTGAGGGTGTAGTCCAGAGCGTAGTTATCGTACACGGCGTCCACAACGCGCATGTCGTTGTCGTTGTTCCAAACTGAGAAACGCAGAAGAATTTACATGAGCAAATATCTTCTCTTGAGCCTCTTGTGTGTTTTGCTTGTGCGTGCACTCACCTAGGTTGTGGAAGGTGAAGCGTCCAGGAGTGTCTGTCTTCTTGGCCAGCTGAGTCATCCTCCAGCACGACCCATCGTCCCTTTACAGGAGAACAACAAAAACATCTTCCTGAGAATCATTCTGTTTTTGTTCACTGAATGCATCTTTAGGAATTTAAAACCTACTTCAGGTTGGCATAGGACAGGTGCAGGTCTCCCTCCTCAGTTGGCGTGAAAATGGCAGTTCCAACCTTCATGGTCTCTTTGTGGTCCACAAACCACTGGGCGTTGCTTGCAAAACCAATCAGGTACCACTTACCTGCCATCTAAAAGAAAAAGGGTAAAAATTAAGAACCTTATTACTTGAACTGAACGCACAGCTGCAGAACTGACCTATTTGTTTGTCTCTTACCTTCTCCAGGCTGAAGTCTTGCATGGGCACGACATCTGCGCACGCAGCCATCATGCACATCAGCGCGGCCAGCACCCTCATCATCGTGGTCCTCATGGCTTCTCTGCTTCAGGAGCGATCAGGAGTGTCGGGGATATGCAGGGATAAGCAGCCGGCGAGGCGTCTTTATACACTTCTGCAGCATCCTCCCCCCTCCTCCTGTCTCCTCCCATCTTCTGCTGCTGGCTTGGGCATTACAAAAACTCTCTGGCTCTTTCCCAGTGGAACGTTGTTACACAACAACAGGCACATGTGGACGAAGACGAGAGACGTGAGTGCTGTTCTTTGCAAATGAACAAAGACGATTGACCCTTCAGATCATGTGTTTGATAAGAGCACAGGAGTCTAAAAACAAAAGCAAGAGATCCAAACTGCTGGAAAGACACAATTTACTGCACTCGTTCAACACTAATCCGGTCGCTAAACTACAAAAATGGCTCCAACTCAGTCAGTTATACAGATTAAAAGCTAAAATCTGATGCAGTCGTAGCTAAGAGTCGTAAACAATAATACTCTGAGGGTGACGTGATGGTGCTGAACGTTACCGTCGATGTATTTTATCAACATAAACTGATCTTCGTCTACGAGTCAGGCATGAAATGAGGCAGGTGAGATGCATTCCTCCTGCTTGGTCTTCAAGTTTCTAAAAGTTTTTAAAAGTGAAGCATCCGGAGGAAATGTCTCTGCAGAAAGAACTGAAGAACTTAATTTCAATTAAAGTCAGCGGATTTAATCCTGAATGCAAATCTTTAGTTTGCAGATTTGTGCTGAATCAGAGCTCGTTTTGTAACGAGACCTGGCAGGCACAGTCTTGCAATGATCTGGTTGCATAACACACACGCACACACGCACCCCGCCATACACACACATGCACACACGCACGCCCCTTTAAAACCACACTCTTTATAAACAAACTTTCTGAACCCCTTTGGGGATTTAAACCTGGATTTTATTATCTCCAGCTCCACTCTTTCTGTGTTCCTACTCACAAGCCAAAAGCCTAAAAGGCTCCAAAACTTCAATCTCTGCATTTCAACAAAACTTCTGTATGTAATTTTACCACTAAATTAGATAATTATATCTGTGTGGGCGTGGCTTGAATTTAATAAGTCACTCCAAAAAACATCATTGGATGTATCTTTATAACGGATTAACTTTTGGAGTCAGTCCAGTTTATGTTAGCTGTCACAGATAATCCAGTGTTGGCTAACACAAACAGTTTATAGCACAGTCAGTTTTATAAATATTGAGCTATAATTTGATGTGGTAGTAGCTGAGAGTCATCCATAACACATACTCTGAGCGTGATATTGACCACAATGGATACGGCCCCATCCTTCTCATCCTAAGATTATCTCAGTTTTGATAAATCTGTTAAGCATTTACCTTTAATAAGTTTTACATACAGACTTGAAAACTTATTTTTATTTTCTTCATGTTACTTTATTTGTTTGTCAAAGGAATTTGCATTTTTAAAGCGTGGCTTCAGCCTTGAATCAATTTTGTTGAGTGGGTAGCTCCACCTCCTCAGCATGTGGGGACGCAGTCTGCAAAACAAGAAGGTGAACTTGAAGTTACTCAGAACTCGTGCAGATGTTCTCGGTACGCAGTGAAAATGGGAAAACATGTTGACAAAGTCTGAAAACCAGGTTCGTTTCACAAGTTGAGTGGGCCAGGTTCACATCCAGGAGCAATCTCAGGTGTGACGAAGAGACTCATTCAAGGTCCTGAAGACTTAAAGTTGATTTTACAGCAAGAAAGTTCACATGAATAAAATAAACAGGACAAAAGTTCATGCAGACCCAAAATATGACCAATTGGATCATTTTAAAACCTTATTTAGCTTCTTAGTGTTGTTGTTTAATGTTATTGGGAAAAGATGCTGCAAACAACAGATTGTGAAGTAATCTTTAATTCCTCACAAAGCAGGAAAAAATATAAATATGATGGGAAAACTCGTTCCAGGCAGCTGTTTTTCAGTTTGTCGTGCGGTGACATGAAAGTATGTTCTTAAAAACTCCAGTAAGCAGAGTCAAGTTTAGTCCTGTAGGACAAAAAACATTTTGAGAGCTGTTTGTTCGGTTTATAGAAACACAAATCAAAGTTTGTTTGACTGCTAAAGCTTTGTGCTCTGCTGCTCTCTGCAGAAATATTGTTTTTATTTCTCATGCATCACTAGAAAACATATAAAACATCATAAAAATCAGTCGAAAGTGTAAATATTAAAAAAATAGGCTGATATTTTGGAAACAAGTTTTAGATGTTAATAAAATTAGAGAAACTGCATTTCCTGCAAAAATGCAGTGTGAATGCTTATTGTGGAAGAACTTACTGAAAAACTGCTGAAATTAGCTTTAAAAAAGTGCTGAAATGAAAGAGCAAGCCTAAAAGAGCAGAAGAAAACAGAAAGAACAACATTTGCTGAATTAGGTTTAAATAAGCACAAAAATTAGGAAATCAACTAAAAAAAAAAGCTAAAATTTGCCCCAAAAATTTTAAAAGTAGCTGAAAATGTAGAAAGACGCTTAACCTATGAGAAGAAGTGGAACGAGTTGAACTGAGATTTAAAAAATGTGGAATTAGCTGAAAAAGCTAAAATTTGCATAAAAATTGCTAAATAGTAGCTGAAATAGCAGAAAAAGCTGAAACTAGCTGAAAATCAGAAAGGAGCACAACAAGCTGAAATTAGCAGAAAGAAGTTAATTAGGCTGAAAGTAGCAGAGATTACCATGAAAAACTTGAATTCATCTGAAAACAGCTGAAATTAGCTAAATTTTTTCTAAAAAAGGTATAGCTAAAAATGTAGAACCAGCTTAAATTAGAATAAGAAAAAAGAAAGAACATGTTTGCCCAATTAGGCTGAAAGAAGCATAAATTAAAACTAGAAAGTATCTGAAAAAAGCTAAAATTAGCAAAAAGCAGCTGAAAATTAGCTAAGAAGCTGAAATTACAAGAAGGAAATGGAGAGAGCACGTTTGCTGAATTAGACTGAAAAAGTTTAAATTAGTGCAAACAATGGAATTAGCTGAAAAGGCTTAAACTAACATAAAAACAGCTAAATTGTAGCTGAAATATTGGAAGAAGCTGAAACTTGCAGAAATCAACTGAAAGGAGCACAACAAACCGAAATTAGCAGAAAGAAGTTAGTCACAAAAATTTTGTAGTTAGAAGAAAGAACCTGAAAGGAGCCTAAAACAGCTGAAAGTAGCTGAAAGCAGCTGAAAAATGTTTGAATTTGCTCAAAGAAGCTGAAGCAGAAAAAAATGTGAAAGGAGCTGTTAAAGGTTCTAAACAGATCTAAAGATTTGAAGGATGTAAAAAAAGCTCAATTCATTTTCTATGAGGAAAAAAATGGCAGAAAAGGCTAAATATTTTAAAAAGCTAAAGTTGCACCAATACCAAAGTCCTTTCAGGATTGTCCTGAAAGAGCTGAACATTTTGATTTATGATTTGTTGATATAGCTTGTAAACTGCAGGACGAGAAACAAACCAAAAAATGTGTGAATGCTTCTTAAACATCCACACAATAAAGCTGAATTTATTTTGATTACTTTTAAGAAAATGGTTTTAGCCTTTTTTTGCTACTTTCAGATAGTTTTTTTTGCCTATTTTAGCTTTTAGCTTGTGTTTTAGTCCTTTTGGTTTTTAGCTAAGCTTCTGTCTCTTTCAGCTTTAACAGCTTCATTTTAGCCTCTTAATCTTTGGCAGTCATTTATCACCCTGCGTTCACTGAAGATGTGATTTATCTGGATACAATAAACTGAATGAAGAAATAAAGCCTTCAGAAAACTCTATAGGAGCTGCACTGTGTGTGGCATGTAAATATACGCTGCTTGTGACGTCTGTTCAACTAACATAAATGATGCAAAAGTAAAATCAGAAATATGTGAACTCTGCATATAAACATATTAAATAAACACTTTATCGTTTTACTCTGGTTCCAGTGTGATGAAAATTAGATGTTGGACTTCTTGTGTGAGTAACGAGATCAATAAGACTCGTTAGTCTTATCCCCTTTTCCGACACAATCAGTCAGACGATAGCACGAAAACAAGCCCTTTAATCACGGTTGTATTTAATGCTATACTCAGTGGAAATACACACAGAGTTTATTGGATACCACTAAACACAGTCACAGTAAACTTTGAACTGGGATTTGAGTGAAAAACCTTTCTGGATTTTGATAATTTTATTTATTTATTCTTTTGTTTTTACAGAAACCTGAATGTTCACCTTCTTGTTGACCTTAATTTGCTTCTTACATTAAAATATTTCTAGAGTTCTTAATAAGAGACACTACAACAACAACATAAACAGAATGAACTTACTGATTATATGATCCTTGTCCACATGGCCACAGTGACCTGGAAAGAAAATATATTTTAAATAATAATCATAAGTAAGATATGTGTTATTGTGATGCCCCTTTGCATACTCAAAGACCAGGTGGCAGTCTGCATCAGTCTGGCTCTGTGTGATGGTTTTAACTGGCTGCATTTGCCACATGTGGATTTGTGGTATAACTGTGAAGACTGGGGCAAAGCACTACTGGGGCTGCTGGTTGTGTTGGTTTGCTCATTTGACTTTTAACTTATACTTTTCAGCAATAAATATGTTAAGTTACTTTAAATTGTGTTTTGTTTTGTGTTGTAGCCCACGTCTGAAGCATACATTTGGGGGCTCGTCCGGGATGTTTTGAAATTTTATCAGAGCCAGAACAAGAAAGGTTTTGCATTGTAAGTCAAAAATGTGGCAGTGCAGTGGCTAAGTTGGTAGAGCTGTTGCCTCTCAGCAAGAAGGTTGCTGGCTCAAATCCCGGCTGGAGGCCTTTCTAGGTGGCGTTTGTATGTTCTCTCCGTGCATGCTTGGGTTTTCTTTGGGTACTCTGGTTTCCTCCTACAGACCAAAAACATGCATGTTAGGCTGATGGGTAACTAAACTGTCCCTATGTGTGAGTGAGAGAGTGAATGGTCGTTTGTCTTGTTTGTCTCTATGTGTCCCTGTGATGGACTGGAGACCTGTCCAAGGTGTCCCCCACCTCTTGCACAGTGATAGCTGGACATTGGCACCAGTGACTCCCGTAACCCGAAAAGGAAGAAGTGGGTAAAAATGATGGATGGATGAAGTCAAGAGTGTGGTGTTGTGTAATCTCTGCTCCATGTTACTATTGTGTTTGTTACATCAGTTAGTGCAGATCTTCATCAATGCATCCCATGTAAGTTTGAGCTTGTCCATAAATTTATTTGTGAAAGAAGATGGTTCTCTTGCTTATGAGAACAAGAACCAGACTTAACACTAACTTAAACTGTTTAAAATCAGTTTATGTGGCAAACCAGTTTCAGGTTCTGTTTTTGGTAGTTTTCACATTGTGGGAGGACACCAGATCCTAACAGCCCTATGTGGGTTGGACTGAATGGTCTCCCTTTTTAGCTCTTGTGGCCTGTCCATCACTTTGGTCCTTGTTTGTTGCTCTGACTGACATTGGAGCACCTGAGTACAGTGGTGGCTGCCAGCTTCTTGGTTGGTTGGTGTGGTCTCGTACTATGATCTTTCAGTCTTTACTCTGAACACCATGCTTGTATTTCCGTGCCTTCCTTGTTGTTTCACAGGTTCAAAGGCTTAACTGGACCAAACCAGAGGGTCTTGGTTTGATTCTGTTGGGCTTGTGGAGGAATCCTTTTGAGGGTTTTTAACTTGGATTTGTAATAAAAACAAATGTTAAACTACTGTGCTCAGTCTCTGCTTTATGTTGCGACCCAGTGAGTCATGTAACAGTCTTAAAGTGATCACTGTGTGAAGACGTGATGCTGTTCATGTGTACATACTGTAGGTAGGGAAGGGGAAGAGGTAGGCCAGCCCCAAGCTGTGTTTTTCAGCAAGTTGTTCAAACTTGGCCAACATTGGCTCTGATAGGTTGTCCACGGACCTGCCTGCAAGGCATCATAAGAATATTTACAAGCATAACATTTGGATTGTGGCACCGTTAACCGGTTGGAAACGCACACGGCTGTTGAACCTACTGTAGAGCTTTACTGTGATCTTGTCCTGTTTCTGGTAGAACAGGACTGCGTAGGAGGTGTAGTCAGTTTCTCCAACCACGATGTCTGTGTTGAGCTCAGGACGGGCTCCTGGTGACAAGAACAAGCCGAGTCTACAGCTGCTGTGCGTTGTTTTACCGTGCTGAAAGAAATGAACTGACCTTTGAGTATCAGTTTTCCTGGGGTTGACGTTAAATGGTAGACCTGCAAAATCTCCCAGCACTGGTGATTACTGAAGAGAAAAATGGAAAAAGGGTCTTTACGTTTTTGTGTTTCATAAAAAAGCTGGACCCTTTTACGGCGCTAACATCTAACTACCGTACTTTCCGCCGTACACGTCGCACCGCCCTATAATTCACATCAGTCTAAATATGTCTAATAAAGTGGAAAAAACATAAATATGTTGCTTCGCTGTATAAGTCACATCTATTATGCAACACCGCTGAACACCTGGAAATGTGGGCCGGTGTGCCAAAAATCGATTGGCGGCCGCGGGAGCGTGCACGGGAGGACTTTAACAAGAATCCAACAAGATTAACACTTAAAAATAATTATTTGTTTGCTCGAAATTATAGCAAAGTTGTGCCTCAGTCTAATTTTTCCTTAATAAAATGCACTTTGATGGTCAAATCAGCTGCATTTCAAAAGCTGATTTACGGAAGCGGGAGCGCGTAGAAGGAGGACTTGCTGTGCATTTCTTCAAAATTTTCCAAGATAACCACCTAAAAACAATTATTTGTTTGCTCAACATTATAGTAAAGGTGTGTCTCAGTCTAATTTTTCCTTAATAAATGCACCTTAACCATCAAATCAGCTGCATTTCACCTGGGCGGTGCAGCCAACTGCAACTGGTTTGACGTTTGCTCCGGGGCTTCCAGAGCGAGACGAAGATGGCTTGTATGGCAAGCCAAGTGTCTCATTAATAGCCACTTTTACCTATTAATGAGACACTTGGCTTGCCATATAGGTCGAGGATGTTAGTGTTCAATATTTTCCATTTCAGAATGAATGACATCATCAGATCTCAGCCAAAAATTGGATTATAAATATGGGAGAAAATTGTATATTAGTCGCTTTGGTGTATAAGTCGCAGAACTTGCAAATATAAGCAAAAAAGTGTGATTTATACAGCGAAAAATATGGTAATCAAAAACACATTCTTTGGCCTTTAAAGTGTATTTATTAATTTTTAAAAGCCATGTCAGATTAACCAAGAACTTCAAAATATCGTGAAGGGAAAGCTGATGGTTTTACTGTTCTTCCTCCATCATCTTGTTTTTAAAATGGCACCATAAAAACTTTCCTGTTGGTTGGAGCCAGAAATCATTTGTGAGACTTGCGGTGCATTCACTGTGTCATTGCAGGGGTACTTACTGACGTGTTTTAGTACTAACAGACAGGGTTTGGGCCGAGGCAGAGGAGCGTGTGAGCGTCATGACAGTTGGCTCCACGCTGGTTCCATGATTTATCAGGTAGGAGCATTTGGAGGCTGTGTTCAGGAGGTACCACACTCCTGTCATCTGATCAGGTGAACGGAGAAACAGGAAACATGTATCACTTCGCAGAAAGACGATATGGTTTGATGGAGAGCTTTGAGAGGACCTTTGGTGGCTGTTTTCAGTGTAAAAGAAGAAAACTACAACGCAGTTGGAACAGAACTGGTAGCCAAGATGAAGCATTTACTGACCACAGAAAAGAGGCAGTCCTGAATCTGAAACAGGTGTTTAAAGCTGAATGAAATGTTGTCTTGCACAGGCTTTAAATTGCTTAGATTATTTTTGGAGAAAATGAGTTTATTAATATGACAGATGAGCGAACAGCTTTGCGGATTAAAGCTAAGACTAAAGATGGTTGCTGTCTTACTGCAGCCACTCAAATCTCTAAAACGTCCTTGGAGTTCGTGCAAACAACTTTTTATTAACCCTGACCTTTTCATGGTTATTTACATCATTGCCTGCTTTTCCTTTCTGGGTCACGAGGAGCTGGTCACTATCCGTGAGAGGTACACCCTGAACTGGTTTAGCAGTTTAAAGATTTCTGAAGAAAAAAAAAATAGTGTTTGCATGAACCACTTTAAAAAAAACAGTTTAGTGTGATGTTGAGGTTGAAGAAATCCACTTTGACCCGGCTGTAGAACTGCTTGCAGATATTTCTCTTTTCTCTTATTTTGCTTTAAAACCATAAAACGCTTTGCAACTTGAACTTTGAGCACCCAGACTGCCAGCTCTCTGTTTTGTGTTTACTTTGCTCAAAAGAACAAAAAGACGGCTTCTTGTCCATGACTGTTGTGGTAAACGAAAATGTATTTAATTCAAAGAGCTATCTGCAGGTAAAGTCTTGGTTGTTCATGTTTCCACACAACTCCACTTTAAAAGTTAGGAACTATCCCTTTAAAGCAAGATGAGACTTGGTTTCTGGTGAACAACTTGTAGCATGAAGCTGCTCTGACTGTGACCCCTGACCCTGATTCCTCTTCCAGACTCACCATGAGTTGTTTTCTTTAAACTTACATTTGACTTCAATAATATCTGATGTTTTTCACACGTTTCTCGTCCTTGGACAGAGCCGGCTGCAGTCTGACTAATGTTTATCTTGTACTTCCTGTGCTTTTAAGAAAGAAAAACAAATTATTAATGGAGTTTGTTTTGTCTGAAAAACAAGTGTGAACATGAATAATTTTAAATTGTTGTTTTCAATCATCATAATGAAATCACGTGAAACATTACAATGTGTTTAACATATTCGTCTGTTCAGAAAGTGGTTCTTCCTTCAGAGACACCTGCTCTAAAACGCTCTTTGAGCTGGAGCAGTTTGGTTCACAGGGGAAGTCACAATGTTCTTGAGAGTAGTCTAAACAATCTTCTCAGAGCTGTTGTTTTGCACAAAGATGTTTTGTGTGAAAAGAGTTCATCCTGGATGACGGAGAGTTTGTTGAATATCCATGTGCTCTGGTATAAAACTCCCTGTAATTAACAGATTTTACTTCAGTGACTGATTCTGATCATTAAAGGGTGATTATATTAATTAAGTTGTTGTTGGTCAATAAACTGACCAGCTGGTGCCCCACTTTAACCAGTGCTAAATAAATGAAACAAACGTAGTGAAGGGGAGTGGAGAAAGTGTCACCCTTCTTCCTCCATCTCACCCTTCGTTATTGCTACAATCTTTTGTACGTATTTCTCTTAAATACTGAGGTAATGGGGGTAAAGAGTTCGTTTTGCTCATTGATTAAACTTTTCTGAGCAGCAACAGCTGAAAACAACACGATTTTTCACGAACACCCTAGAATTGTGTTCTTTCAGAAAAATTACAAGCAGGTTATTCAGACAGAACTGCGTCTTGCAGTCCTGCTTTGTCTTGTTTGTGCATTCCTTCACTATATCGACCCGACGCGTATCTGATTGTAGCTTCTGCTTGAAGGCTCGCGTTAATCAAGAAGTGGTGCCAAACAGGGAGACAATGGTCACAGAGGCTGCTATCTCTGGTTTATAGTTTAACTTTGCTTTGTGTACGTCACCACTGGTCGATAAATGTGGTTCAGAGTGTTTGGATTGCTGGGTTTAAGCTGCTGGGTGATATGGGGAGTTGGTTTGACCAAACACTGGCTCACAAACTTTATTCTAGTGGTTGAACATGAGCCATGCCATTTGTCACGGTCTGCTACTTTAAGCTAAATTGACCAAACTGCACCTGATGAAATCTCTGCTTTAGAAAGTAATAGGTAAAGGTAAGACAGTGAAAACAACTAAAGGAGATATTTAACATTGTTGACTGTCTAGTGATGTCCAGTCCTGGTTCTTAAGGGCCACCATCCTGCACATTTTACCATATTTTCCACCATACACGTCACACCACCGTATAATTCGCATCAGTCCAAATATGTCTAATAACGTGGAAAAACACATAAATATGTCGCATCTATTATGCATCACCGCTGACAACCCAGAAATGTGGGCCGGTGTTGTGCCAAAAATCGACTGGCTGCCAAATGGAGGCCACGGGCGCATGCACGGGAGGACTTTTACAAGAATTTAACAAGATTAACACTTCAAAAACAATTATTTGTTTGCTCGACATTAGAGCAAAGGCGTGTCTCAGTTTAACTTTTCCTTAATAAAATGCACTTTGATGGTCAAGTCAGGTGCATTTCAAAAGCTGATTCTCAGGAGCGCGCAGGGGGACGACTCGCTGTGCATTTCTTTGAAATTTAACAAGATAATTACCTAAAAACAATCATTTGTTTGCTCGAAATTATAGCAAAGATGTGTCTCAGTTTAAGATTTCCTTAATAAATGCACTTTAATGGTCAAATCAGCTGCATTTCACCTGGGCGGCACGGTGAAATGAAGCTGATTAGACGTTTGCTCCAGGAGTTCCGGAGCGAGACAAAGTTGGCTCGGTATGGCAAGTCAAGTGTCTCATTAATAGCCACTTTTACCTATTAATGAGACACTTGGCTTGCCATATTAGTCGAGGGCCCTCTAGTGGCTGAAAATGGTAGTGTTCAATATTTTCCACGTCAGAATGAATGAAATCGTCCGATCTCAGCCACAAATTAAGTTATAAATATGGAAGAAAAAAAACATAAATAAGTCGCAGGGTGTGCAAATTAGGCAAAAAGGTGCAACTTATATGCCGGAAAATACGGTAGTTGTTTCCATGCTCTTTAGCAGGGCTTCAAGTTCTACGGAAGACTGGTAACGGCTCTTTTATTCAAATCAGATGTGAACATGCAGGACGGTAGCCCTCAAGGACCAGGACTGGACACCACTGCAGTGAGTTTAGATTCCTGGATGCTAGATGATGCTAAAAGCCATTAGCACCAGCTAGCTGCATCGACCCAAGTTGTTTTGTTTTTTATACTTAACTTTTTACTAGCTCTAATTAAACAAATAACTCATTTAACCAATTAGTTGAAAACCTGCCAGTGTGCCGGGTCAAGGTGATAGTTTTGTTGTTTACTAGTTTTTAGTTCAAGTTTTTAGTGTGTGACAAGTGATCCCAATCTTATTAGTCTCTTGAAGTTTCTCCCAACTCACTACATTCAAATAAAATTTAATATAGTTTAGTTTTCAGAGTACTGTTTCTTCAGTACACAAACAAAAAGTACTAAACTATTCCTACTGCGGTCTTTCCTTACATCTTTGTTTACTTGAAAAATAAAAAAACTGTATTGCCTCATCACAGTATTGACACAATTTCACAAGCATCCTGATAATAATTCTTAACAAAACTCACATACGACTTCATTTTAAAGCTTCTTCACAGTTTCAAGTCTACTTTTATCAAAAACAAGGGTGAAAATTTGGAGCAATATTCCTGGATCAGTAAAATGAAGTGATTCTGTGAATTATTTAGGACAATAAAAATTACTTTTGGCAGATTCGTCGAGGGTTTGTGTGTCAAGTTATTAAATTTTTTATCCATTTTAACTTTTTTTTTTGCAGTTTCTTTATATAATTTTTAGAAATTGTGCTGTAAGCAAGTTAGAAACAAAATCACTATCAGGGTGCAAAAGTCAACTAACCACCCGCTGAACTATTTGCTGTGATGCAGCTGAAATCTGATCTTCAGGTTAAAGTTCATTCTCTAGTTCGATGAAATGAGTTCGCCCATGTTCCAGCGTTCCCAAAACTGAAAATATGCATCGAATGGCTTTTAATCTTTTGGCTTTCAGCAGCAATAAAACCAGACACATGTGGACAGTGTCTGAAACGCAGAGACAGATACGCTGACGCAATTAATCGTAAGTCACCTTGAAAATGGCCATCATCCTTTGGGACAACAAACCCAGTCCAAGACAAAATACATCAGCAACAAAGGGTTTTAGTTTTGAAAACCTTGTGTAGTTCCTACACAAAAAGACAAGTTGAATAAGATTTTAACTGCATTCAAATGATTGCATTTTGTTTTAATTGCATGTCTCAGCCTTCACCATGTCTGGACTGTGACTCGATCCTCCTCTAGTCTCTTACCTGCTGTATGTCTACATTCTGAGCAGGCGGGGTCGAGTCCACAGGGTCAACTTTAGGATTCTTTGGAGGTCGCTTCTGAGGTTTTGGTCGACTCTTGGCCCCTCCTACAGCCTCAGAAGGCACCCAGAGACACACGGCGAGCAGCAGCACCGCTGCCAGCACGCACCGACGCACTCCGGCCATCCCACCACCAACAATACCACCCTCAAGAAGCTGTTTGAGCACTCTGCTTCCCTTACGGTCCAATGGTTTTCTTTTTAAATTCTCCTTTTGACTTTATTTTTTATTAATTTGTTGGCTCTCTGTTCACTTCTGACTGTCTGGTTTTGTTGCCTGTTATTTCTTTTCTAGTTGACTCAGTCACCGTTTCAGACCCAGTGGGTGTGCTGGCACTGAAACAGAGGATGGTCCATTCAGTTAAACATTAATGTGTTGTACTGGTATGTAGAGACCAGTCTGAAGAGATTTGTTGTGTTTTTTCTGAACCACAGGGGGCAGTGATAACCTCCATTTACATATCCCTTTAATAACGGTGATTAATAACCAGAGGAGCGTGAATAAATAACTATGTAAGCATGATCTGTCAAAAGACAAATGAGATGAATGAAAAGTTGAAAGCAGAAACAAAAACAAAAGATGGATGTCATAAACTTTTCATGCTTTGCAGTAGAGATGGATCAAACTTTGAAACGAGACACTCATCTCACAAGATGACCTACTGGGTCCACAAAATCGATGCAACATCCATCCATCCATCATCTGCCACTTTAAGTTGAGCCTCTTCCTCTAAGCACGTAGCTGTAGAAGCTGCTCTTACAGCGTGTCTTCATTGAGGTGCTGCATGGTCCTAGTGCCTGACATGTTTGTTTAAACTCATTGAAAAAATTGTGATGTTTTAATCTTGAAACACTAATCTCAAGCAATAAAAAACATAAAACTTGAAGTAATGTGTTAATGAACAGATCATGCAAATGCATTTTTATTACATTTTACAAAAAAACAATTTACTCAACAAAACATTAAGAAAAGACCAATAACTCAGAAAAGGCATACTGAATGTGGTTTGTTGTACAATTGGGAGGTTTTATAAAGTTCAAATGTTGCAGGAAGCCCACCTGTTTTGTTTTTTTCAGTCAATAAGTTGGACCTTTATTCTGCACAAATCTTCTCACTAACATGTTCATAAGAAACATGTTTAAGAAAGTCCATCACTTCTTCTTGTCCTTGTCCAGTTTGCTGTTGTCTCTGGGTTTAAATTTCAGGGCTACACTGTTGATACAGAACCGCTGACCTGTTGGGTCTGGTCCATCATCAAACACATGGCCAAGGTGGGCATCACACTGTTTGACAAAAAGAAAACATTCAAAATCTGGATCATTTATGATCATATTCATAAAAACTAAGCAATAAATATTACTATAAGCCTGAATATATACTAACAGAAATTACAAGCAGTACGCAGATGTCTCAATGGGACTAACCTGTATAATAAAGGTTGAATGAATGAGTTACACTGATTCGAGGCAGCAAAGAGTGACAGATTCTGGCAAGAGCAATTTTACCCACTACCAGGCATAATGGTGAAGCCAAGGGGTGGCCAATGGTGGCCATCATAAATTAATTTATAATTTGCTATAATTTCTGCATATTATGAGGAAAATGATCCAATATTTGTGACTGGTAAAAATATGTGAACCTTTGCTTTCAATACCATTTTTTAGCAGAGACCGTTTTTATGCCTAGCTGCAGCCTAACACCAAAATAGAAGATTCCTTATTTTTCAAGTTATCCAGCTCACAAGGTAACATATACATATATAGGGGTAGCCATCTTGGATTTTGGTGCGTCAAGAAAGGAACCTTTCTTGTAGCCACACACTAAAATGGAAGTTACATGTATTTTTCAAGTTATCATGCTCACAACATGCACATACAGACAGAGGGATGGTATTTCCAGTTCCCCCTTTTCTCTCCGCGATGGGGAACAATAAAGCGTATTGTGTAAAAGCAGTTGCGAGGCGCACAAGTGAAACTTTTGTTTAAAAGCAACTCACATTTTTACAAAGGACCTCCGTCCCTGCACTTCCCAGGCTGTTGTCGGGGCGACGAATGATGGAGGCATGGCTTTCATCTCGCTCCCATGTCCCATGAGCCTCTTTGAATGCAGGCCAGCCCGTCCCTGAGTCGTACTTTGCTTCTGAACTATGAAGGGAAGAAGCAAAGCTCTCCAGAGTAAGCCTATATTTATGTCGTATTTACCGTTTTTAATGATCCGTGTAGATGCAACACATCACCTGAAGAGAGGAACATCACAGCAGACACAGTGGTACATCCCCACTTCACAGTGGCTCAGGTAAATCCCACTGAAAGGCTGAAAATAACCACAAATACACATTTAAGCTTTTAATAATTTTCACGGAAAAGAACTGAACAAACCTCATTTTGTCTGTTTGAACGTCGCAATAAACAGTGTTGATTTTAGCCTCGTTTTGGGGGTGCTCAAGCACCACTAAATTGTAACTCAGCACCCCTGAAAAGTTTTTAAAAAACATCATTACGGTTTTGTAAGGAAACTCTGTTCTCAAACCTTAGATTCACCAATTTGGAATAAATGATGACACTTAAATGGGCCAGAAAATATATGATTTGTTTTGCACAAGTCAAATCCAGTCCAGTAGGATCATCAGCAACGGACCAATCGGCAACCTGAATTTGTCCCAAAGTGAAACGCCCCTTAACTGCAGGAGCTGGGGGCGGGAGGGGTTAGGATGCATGAGAGAAGCGGAGTGCTACGTCTGTAGCATCTTAGCTAGCGCATCTGTATTGTGTGCCACGATATAGTTGTCAGCGGTTGTCGACCGGGGGTGGAGGGGGTGTATTAGGCTGTGTGACAAAAGCGGAGCGTGCTCTAATCACACAAGGGGAGCTGTTGGTCAGGCTACTTCTGTCATGCTCTCGAAAATAGTTATTGAATCAAGTGTTTACCTGTATGTAAAACTAGATGTTAGCCTGTTAAAATACACCAGAATGCAGGAAATGAAATCTACTTTATTCAAAATTTTCTTGGGGAGGACCCCCAGACACCTCCCCACCCCCCAATTCTAAATACTTCTGACACCACTGCATTGTCAGCACTGGGGGCTAAGCACCCCTAAAGGGCAGATTCTAGAATGGCCTCTGGCAATAAACACGTTTTATGTCAAATTATCTGTGTTGGTGTCTTATTGCTTCTGAACTTGGAGTCCGTTAGTGAAATACAATCAAGTTCTCTTTATCTTCACTGACGTCTGCAGGCAGCGTCATAACAACCAGAGCTGACTGAAGTCGACGCAGGTCGACTATAAGAGCTGCTCAAAGTCCGTCCATGCGCTGCTCTTTGTGAGACAGTCCGTGTCAGGCTTGCAGTTTCACAAAACACATTTTATTTGACCCAAAGCCTTTAGTGTTTGTAAATCTGACTCACCTCCTCGGTTCCTTTCTCTCTGGTGACCACATACTGTTCTGGAGTCAGCTTCTTTTGCCAGTCTGTGGTCTCGTTGTAGCGTGTGAGAGACTGCAGACCTGCACCAAGCAGAGGTTGCACATTACACCACAACGCTGCAGAGACTGCAACAGGTTCTCTTTCAGGTGCACAATATAGACACTTTTTGAGGCACATAAGGTCGTGATGTCTAACGGTTGATCATTTTGAAGTTGCCAAAACAGTGTTGCATCATTTTTGTGTTGGCTAATCCTGATTAGTTGTGGCAGCCATCTTGAATTGGATTGATTGGTCTGTTGTAGAAATACATTCACTGAATATTTTCTGAAAGTTTCATTAAAACTCATCCAGTGGTTCATGAGATATTTTGCTAAATGTTAAACAAAGACCGCTGTTAGAGCTCAGAATATGTATCACTCTCAGCTACTACCACACTGGTCACCATCTGTAATAGTTCAAGTCATCTCTGTGTGTTTTTAAGTCAGTTGGCTGTGGCGGCCATCTTGAATCAGGTTGACTGCAGAAATTAATCTGTTGTTTAATTTCTGCAAGTTTCATTATTCACCTAGTGGCTCTTGAGATATTTTGCTAACAGACACGGGCGATTACATTCTTATCCGGGTTCGCCTTCCGGCGGCGGGCGACAACAACTCATTAGATGAAAATGAAAAGCCCCGGACAGCGCGTGCGCTGGTCAGGTGGCTGCTCGGTACCTTTAGTTGTGGATAAAGTCCGGATGACCGGGATCCTCCTCGGTGCCGCCGCTGATCCGAGTCCCGGGTTCTGGGAAATGACCCAAAGGAAACGGCGGACGAACCGAGACATGTTTGCTCCCGCAGAGTCAAGTGCACGCGCCGGGGTGAGTCCAGGACAGATTATGGACCGAGCCGAGCCGAGCCGAGATTAACGGGTTCGCGCTGGTCCGCCGGGTCAAAAACCAAACTTCCACCCAAATGGGCCAAAGGTACAGAACCGGTTTTATTGCTGGGAACTGGTCAGAGTGCAACCTGCCATTAAAGGTTCTGTGGAAATGACAGAGAGGAACTTAAATCGAATTAAATTTAAGATTTTTTTTTTTTTTTTCAAATCGGAGATTATTTGTTTTCAATAAATTAAATTCAAATCGCTTCAGAAAACACACATAGAAACAATCAAATACGGTAATTTGTAATTAAAGTAACTCATAAAATCATAAAAACCTGATAAATCAAATCATAAAATAATAAATATAATAAAATGTTATATTGATAGTCTCATATTCATGCATACCCACACTAGACAAATCAGAGGTAAATGATAATAAGCTAATATTAATAAAAAAATAATAGTAAATAGACTGTATTTAACGCCCCTCATTTACCCATAAACTATATAAAGAATAATCTTTCACATTCAGACACCAAACATCAGAGGCAATGAGGGGTTCAGTGTCTTGCCCAGGGACACTTCAGCATGTTG